TGAAATGGGTGATCCTGGACCGGAAGGATCTGATGGTCCCCCAGGCTGGCCAGGAGCGGCTGGAGTTCCAGCACAAAGAGGTCGAGGTAGAATGGGTCCAATGGGTCCTGAAGGAGTTCCCGGTTTTCGAGGACATCGAGGTCCAATGGGACAGCGAGGTATAGTGGGCCTGAATGGTCTAATCGGTGAACGAGGCCGACAAGGACGACGTGGACCTCATGGCCCACCTGGAAGCCGAGGGCCACCGGGCCCAGAAGGTCGAGCAGGGCGCGATGGTTGGTACTGTCTTTGCCCGCAACACAATCCTAGGAAAAATCGACGGTATCGACTACATCACGTATCACTGTCGAAACGGATACGATCCACTGAATATAGGAATGCCAAGAAATTATCAAAAATTGTTAGACGATGACGTCATACATCGAACCCCTCAGAACTGTGTTCGCATAATAACTTAACCCATGATATTGCTGTCCTATTAACCGAGAGCTAAACCTCGCTAAAACAATCTTGACTGCTTGTACCAGTACTGTATATTATTAACAATGAATTATTTATTTGCAAGTACTATTTTACAATGCAACACCGATGAATGTGATAAATTAATGAAACACCGTCCGCAATAAAACATTCGAAAGAAGTCAGCCAGAAAGTTGAGAACATAAATTGACACGTAACTGGTGACATATTAGGTAAAGATGATACAAGTTTGAGCGTAGGTAGCTTCAAGTTAATTTGTTTGCATGCTTTCCATCTCTTTGGTTTGTTCGCCAATATTTTCCTTCTCTTCCTTCAAAGGCGGATACTCCTTCACAATGCGAGGACCGTAAATTAAAACGTAAGCACAATGCCAGTCACCACCTCCAGAAAGCTTCAACACCTGTAAATGTGAATGTAGACATAACAGTTGCGACTTCCGTGCAAAAAAAAATAATCAAAAGCTAGATCAAGGGGGGAGGGGATTATTTGATGGTATATGTCGAAATAATTTTAAAACCAGATAGGCGTCGGATCGCAAAAGATTAATGTTTTGTAACAATACAAAAGCATCTCAAAATTTCTAGAGGGTACTAAAATCTGTCTCAGTTGTACAATTTCAGTATCCCAAACTAGATATAAAATGCAAATGTTGGACGTCAAAGACCCTAAATATGCAACTAATGAGAAATTCGTTGAAATTTGAATCACATTTTCAACAAAAACCGTCAAACTCGGCAAATCTAACTTGGAATAATCATGCGATTAAAATTTAAGGAGGTAGCGCTATTCTGTCCCACACTAAGTCACAAAACAAAAGGTGAAGCGGATCTCCAACTAGAAAATGGTAAAAGAAAATTCAGATAAGCGATAAAGCCATAGATAAGCTATACTACCTGTTCCGAAGTAACTGGAGTCACGTTGTCATCGTCACACATGGCAAATTTGTCATCATCCAAACGTACCCAAGCGACATAATGACCAGAATTTGATGATCGACCTTTATGAGTGAT